TATGGTATGTTAGGAGTGTTTTTATCACAATACTATTTTTAAAGTGATTCATTGCTGCAGTGAATTCTATATTTAAAAAAAAGAATTAAAAAATATATTTTATATCTTGTTTTTCTTTATATTGAAATGCTGAGACAGTGATTAAAATTGAACAGCATTGTCACTTTAGATTTAATTATTAATGAATGTGTAGAAAGAAAGTTTAATATTGCAACTTTCGAAACCCATTACAAAATCTTGGGATGAACAAAATTCAAGTTAATATAAAAATGCGATATAATTTGCAACATAAGGAATGAATTTGGTAGCTATATTTCTTCAGATGAAATTGTTCCAGGTTAGATCACAACACAGGGTCCCGGATAGAGCTGGAGAAAAATGTAGAACAAAATTCTAACTCACAAAAAGGGACCAGACTTACTGGCCTGACAGAGACTGGAGACTCAGAGAATATGGCCCCCAGACACCCTTGTAGCTCAGCAGAAGTCACTCCCAAGGTTCACCGTTCAGCCAAAGATTAGACAGCCCCATAAAACAAAACGAGACTAATGGGGCATAACGGTCCAGGGACAAGGACTAAAAGGCAGGAGGGGAAAGGAAAGCTGGTATACTGAACCCAAGGTTGAGAAGGGACAGTGTTGACATGTCGTGGGGTTGTTAACCATTGTCATAAAACAATATGTGTACTAACCGTTTAGTGAGAAACTATTTGTTCTGTAAACCTTCATCTGAAATACAATAAAAATAAATAAATAAATTGCTCCAGGTATCCATCTGCAAAATACAAATTGAGGTTGGAAAGTAAAAAACAGGTTGGAACTGGTTCAGTCATGGTCAACCAAGTAAATCTGAAACAGAACCAAATTTTTAAAATTTTGGTGAACCAGGACAATAACCGGAATGGAAAAAATTACAGTTTGAAGCCCTGAGACAGATCCACCAGGTGCTATCAGCTCCATCTCTAAGGGGGTGGGGGCAGGGGCTGGAGACTTGAATTCAATCAGTGATCAAGGGTCCAATCCATCAGGCTGACTAATGATAAGACAGAGGGCCCCAGGCTGTGGAAGATTCCACTGCCTCAAGCAGCTTGCTTGGCATGCCCCGTAGCTTTGCATTAGAATCCTGGTTCCTTTGCTGACACTGCCCCAGAGCTTTACCTTAAAATCCTGGTTCCCCCTCTCAACTGCTGCCCGAAACTACAGGAAGTCAGCAGAAACCAGTTCAGGTGCCGTATGGACATTCAGGAGAACCTTTGAGACCTCGTACATAGTAACCTCCCCGCCTCTGGGTGGAGTTGAACCACCACTTCCTGAACACGAGATGCATGAAGTTGTATGTAAACCTCATCGGGCCTGTGTAGTACAATTACGAATGTTGCTCATGTAACCTGAATGAACTTCCTGCTTGTAAACCCCTTAAAGGTAACCTTCCCCCTTACCCTCACTGAGCAGTCTTGGCGGCAGCAGCCCTGACTCCTCCTTTCCTTGAGCAACGAAATAAAGGGAACTTTCCCCTCTCCCACCTTGGTCTCTCGTTTATTGGCTGAGATGAGACACACCTGGGCAGAACATGGGGTTTCCACCTAGCAGCAATGAAACCCAATTCAAACTCTGCACAAGGAAGCCAGAAGGACATCCTGGTTGGTGAAAGGCAGCCCTGCACAGGAGGGTGAAGGGTGACACTTCCTTGGGGAAGATCCATGTTGGGGACCCTTCCAGACCTTGCTCTTCTTCTCTACCCTTTTTGCTATAATGAAGCTGTAATCGTAAGTGTGGTGCCTTCTTGAATTCTGAGAGTTGCTCCTGTGAATACTGAACCTGAAGGGGTTGTGGGAACCTCTGAATCTGTCGTTAGCAGGTCAGAAGTGCAGGTGTCCAGGGGACCCCAAACTTGCGGCCAGCATCTGCGGTCCTGGGCAGACTTGGCAGTCAGAAGACTGTGCCCTTGGACTTGTGAGGTCTGCCCTCTCGCTGGTTTGGGCCAGAGCTCCTGCACTGCAGTTGGTGTCGGAGTTGATCAGACATGCCTGCTGCCTCTCCCTTCCTCAGGCTCCAGAGGCTCAGGGAGACTCGTGACGAGCAATTCTTCGGCAGCAGCCTTCCTTTTCAAAACTGGCCCAACGGCGTCACGTCTGCCCTCTCCGCGGACGTGAGTGTTGTTGTCGGGGGGCTGGACATCCAGACACCCTGGTTCTGCAGTGCTGGCTTCAGGCTCTGACCCTGTCGTGGGGAGCCCACGGTGACTCTGGGGTCACCATTCACAGTCATGTGCTTGACGCACTGCCTGCTGGGGAACACTCCAGGACTGCTGCCTGGCTGACACCCCACTTAAGCCAGCCTTCCAGGTCTCCTCTCATCTCTTCTCCAGAGGGAAGGCATCCACGGCAGGCTCCTCATGGCCACGACCCAGATCTGGGCCACATGAGCATGGTATACCTCCTAGAGCTAAGAGAAGAAGAAAGACTGACTCGAAGCCTCCGTGCGGACAGTCTCGGACATGGGCCTGGGGCCTGGATTTAATGCCTGAGCCAGAGAGGCGTCCAGGCTGTGGCCCTGTGGGCGCTGAGGAATGAGCTCAGGGCCCTCCTTGCAAGGTTGGAACCAAGGGAGGGCTGGCCATCCTTGAACAAAGCAGGGCTTTGAACTGGTTCTTCCCGGTTCAGTCATGGCTGAGGAAGTGAAACGGGAACAGACCTGAATTTTTAAAATTTGGGTGAACCAGAATGATAGGTGGCATAGGAAAAATTACAGGTCAAAGCCATGCTAGAAACCTAATCTCCCACTTAGAAATCAAGGGCAGCATACGTGTTCAATACTAACCAAATCTCTTGCCCGTGGGGTTTCGAGCAGAGTCAGAAATAGTAGTGCTCCGCTCAAAGATGGTGGCCAAACTAAACCATTTTGAGTGTGTGTTGCTCTCCACAGGCCTGCCAATAATCCAGTCTCATGCATGAGGCTCCTGAAGCGGCTGAGCACGCTTCTCAGTCTCCCATTCCAGGGCTTTGACTTGTAATGTTTTCTGTTCCAGTTATTGTTTCAGATCACCCAAACTGTAAAAATTCACGTCTGTTTCAGTTTCACTTCATTGGCCATGACTGAACCAGTTGGAACCACTGCTGAGAATTTGCATTTCTAACAAGTTCCGGTGGCACCGTGGTTAAGAGCTCAGCTGCTAATCAAAAGGTCAGCAATTCGAATCCACCAGCAGCTCCTTGGTAACTCTATGCGGCAGTTCTACTCTGTCCTGTAGGGTCGCTAGGAGTCAGAATTGACTCGAAGGCAACGGGTTTGGGTTTTTTTTTTTTTTTTTTTTAAAAACAAGTTCCCAGGTGATGCTAATGCTGATGATTAGGGACCAGTTTTGAAAACCACTAGTAGAGCGGTAGTTCTCAAAATTCATTATACATAAGAATCACCCAGGGATCTTGAAGACCTCGCAGATTCTCATTCAGTCTATTTCGGGGTGGAAATGCAAATTCTCAGCAGGGGTTCGAACTCAGATGAACCGGTTGGAAGCCCTGACCAGTTCAAAGCCCTGCCTGGAACAAAGACCAAAAGCCCTCCTTGCTGGTCCAGGACTAGGGCACAGTGCAGGGCTGGCTTTGCTCTTCGTTTCTGCACAGGTGAACTCTCCCACGAGAACCTAATGTGTCAACTGGGTATAAGCCGATGAACCCCTGGGAGATCCAACAGCGCTCACTAAACGACTTCAGGGAGGCCAGGGGCGCAGGACTCTTTCAGGAGGCCTGCAGCTGCAGACTTTTGGCAGCTGCACACGAGGCCACAGACAAAGCTTACAAAGCCCAGGAGACACGTTCACACCCGCGGGATAGTGATAAGCAGAGTTTCAGCCTGAGGAACGAATACCAGAACATTCCGAGTGGCCAGGTGGTCGAAGCTGGTAGGGATTGCTGGGGGCGGTTTGGGGGCCGGCTACCAAACCAAATCCATTGCCCTCGAGTTGATTCCGACTCATATCGACCCTACAGGACACGGTAGAAGTGCCCCCAGAGGGTTTCCGAGGAGCAGCTGGTGGATTCGAACTGCCGACCTTTTGGTTTGCAGCTGAGCTCTTAACCACTGCGCCACGGAGCTAAAGGGGGACAGAAATCTAACCTCCGGTACCCAGCTGCCTTGGACCACACGCCCTTGTTTTCTGGTCTTGGACAAGCACCCATTGCCTCCTCACAGTCCGGGAAGTGAGGGTTGTTGTCAGAAACCCGCGGGTGCCCACACACCTCAGCTGCTCAGCCCACTGGACTGCGTCCGCGTCACCGTTATTACGGCCGCCGTAGCCTATACGGCCGCCGCCCACCACCGGCCGCCGCCCCACCACCCGCTTCCCCTAGCCCCGCAGCGCCGCCGGAAGCGTCCCACGTGACTTCCCGGGCTCGCCACCTCCCCTTCCCTGCCCAGCCGCGCGAGGCTGGGACCCGGGCGCGAAATGCGTCCCGCAGAACGGCAGCGCGCAGGTGCGG